CTTGGGGGGGGGGTCACATTGGGAGGACTTCAGGAGTTCTGTCCCCGCTGGTGGACCTCCTGATGGCACCTGGGTTTTGGCCACTGTGTGACACAGAGTGTTGGACTGGGTGGGCCACTGGCCTGATTCTAAATGCCTTATTTTATGTTTTAGATGGGACACTTTGTCTGGGGGCAGTGATGCACGGTCTTCTTAGTACTTGAGAGGGCCCACAGTGGGAGTTCTGGCCCTGCTGGTAGACCTCCTGAGGCCCCCCAGTGTTTTGGCCACTGTGTGACACAGAGTGTTGGACTGGAAGGGCCATTGGCCTGATTCTAAATGCCTTCCTTTATGTTTTAGATAGGACACTCTGTCTGGGGGCAGTGATGCACGGTCTTCTTAGTACTTGAGACGGCCCACAGTGGGAATTCTGGCCCTGCTGGTAGACCTCCTGAGGGCCCCCAGGGTTTTGGCCACTGTGTGACACAGAGTGTTGGACTGGATGGGCCTTTGACCTGATTCTAAATGCCTTCTTTTATGTTTTAGATGGGACACTCAGTCTGGGGGCAGTGATGCTCGGTCTTCTTAGTACTTGAGGGGGCCCACAGTGGGAGTTCTGGCCCTGGTGGTAGACCTCCTGAGGGCCCCCAGGGTTTTGGCCATTGTGTGACACAGAGTATTGGACTGGATGGCCCATTGGCCTGATTCAACATGGCTTTTCTTACATTATATTCTTAAATGTTTTAAACCAATAAATATCTTTCTGAGCCAGTGGGGTGTATCTGTTGAACTAGGAAGTAGGTGGCTTGGGTGCAAATCCTCCTTGTGCCATGATGTGTTAGAAAAGTAGAACAAATTTAGAGTCCAGTGGCACCTTTAAGACCAGGTGCCACTGGACTCTAAATGTGTTAGAAAGGTGTAACTCTGCTCAGCATTGCTCTGTGGGCGTCTTATTTTCTTTATGCTTTAAAGCCCCACTTGCAATGTTTATTCTGTGTATTCATGGTTATTATTTTTATCAGTACCGCAATAAAAAAACCCATTCCTTAAGAAAAATAAGCTATAATATTAGTTCTTTAGGCTTCTCACCCACTGTTAATAATACACTGACAGATACAAAACTGGATTCAAATCAGCGTTTTTCCTTGAAACTTTCTGGGTGGCCTTGGGCCAGGCATTCACTATCAGTTTAACCTACCTCACAGGGCTGTTGTGAAGAGAAAAAGGGGAAAGGAGAAACATCTGTATTGTGTCCTGGACTCCTTCCAGGACACAGGAAAGAGAAATATGATTGATAAATAATGGGCTTTGAAGGATGCTAACTCTATTTAAGACTGTACTCATTTATGCTTTAGAATCACGTATTATTATAATTATTATTATAAT